GGTCCTTTCCAACCCAAACCATTCCATGATTCTATGAAACACCAAAGACCAGACAGTCCTTTTATTTACAAGAGTATAAACACAAAGTAAATAAAATAAAAAAAAACCAAACCTCCAATAAATAAAACTGATGTCAGAGAAGTAATTAATTACAAGTTGTTAAAGTGTTAGCCAACATTTTTTCCATTATACTTTGGGTGATTATTTGTGTTACAGCAATATGCAAATAGTTTAACTTCTTAACTATCATCAGAAATCTCCTGTTTTGGCTGGTTTGTTTGTTTGTTTTTATAAGAAAGGTGCCATTACTGTGTAGTATCTATAAATATCAGTGCTGCAGATTACATCAGCACCAGAATGTTTTTCGCAGGACAAATGACAGCTGAAAATAAATTTCACCGTGCATCATGATTAAAAATGGGTGTAGGCACTCAGGAAGACGTGGGTAATATTATTAAAGCAAGAGTTATAGGACTCCTGCAACCCATTTATTTTCTTGATAAGCACTGGCCTGTAATGCAAATTACCAGCATGGTTTCTGCTGGAGAGCTTTCCTTCTGTAACGTACCCAAAATATAGATAGGTTGGCTGCTGGTGAGTATGTAAGCTTGGGGCCCAACTCCATGAGAAAATTCAACTCCTCCAATTCTACAGGTAAAAAAGTCATGGTGCTTGTGATGGGGGTTTTAAGAACCAAAATGATGGTACAGTCAACGCCATGGTGTGAAGCCCCACAACAGCAACAACAACAGAAAATTTCATAAGTACCATTAACCTTTTCAAAAATATTATTAAACTTTAAAAATAAGCACGGATGTCTTATTTACCTTCTGGAACTTAAAGGATTCCCATTTTCAACTTTTTTCTCACAGAAATGAAGGCCAGGCCAGAATAGCGAACCTTTTGTGAAGGAAGGGTGGGATGCTAATGGAAACAACCCATGCCAATAGCTGGATCCCTAAGGGAAGGTGAATAAAAGAGTAAGTTGCAAACTTTGGCAATTCTGCAGCCAAAATATTTGATGCTTCTGGTTTAAATTTTCTGATTTTAAAGCTGCCAGGTCTTACTGAAACAGCAAAGTCACGAGAGGTAAAAGTCTCTTGTTGGAGGGAGTGAGTCACCGCTGAAAGTTAAGTTTAGAAAATAAAACCTGCCCATTCTCATTACCTTTCAACATCAAAAAAAAAAAAAAAGAGTTGCCACAGAAGATTTAACTTCTGGTATATCCTATGAACTTGTGATGGTAGAAGAGGTGGAGGGAAATGCCTCTGTTAATGCCTCGAATGCGCCCCACTGAGACCAGCTGAAGGCGGTGGAAAGGAATGGGAAGAACAATCTGCAAATTCTGCTCGATGGCTCAGCCAGTGCTTCTCAAGGAAGCCAACTGTGTTTTATTTGACCAAAACCAATTAATGTCCTTCACAGCGTTGCTGCTTCGTGAATAAGCAGCCCTCCGAGTGCCATATTAAATTATTAATAGGATGGTAAGCATGTATGTTTTTTTTTTTCCCTACAATATCTGCTGATACATAAACTATGGTCTTTTTCACAGCTGGCTCATTCTGTAAAACAAATTAATTAAAAGTGCATATGAGAAACGACAGCAGCCACCCAGTGTTCCAAAAAAAAACAGGGAGGGAGGTGTTGGGGCAGCGCTGGGCACTTTCCCATGTCCTGAGCCATTTGCAGCCACCCCCAGCCAGGCCTTCTGCAAGGCTTAGGACAAGGGCATCCTCCAAACACCTTCTAGCCCCTTCAGGAACTCATGGCTTAGTGGGCTGCTTGAGGCACCCTTGGTGTCTTTACATTTAATAGCACCCCATGGTTTGCCTTTTTTTTTCTTCGGTGAACACTTATGGGTGCTTTTTTGGTCACACACCCTCCTCCCCCTCCCCCCAGTTAACTTTTGGCACCTCGCAGCAGGATGTCTCGCTGTTTAATCACCTGCCGCGTGAAGATCCACCTCCTCCTGTTTGCTTTAAATCTGCCACCTGCTAGTTTCACTTGGTGCTCTCTAGTTCTTATATTAGAAAAAAAAAAAGCAAATAATCTACCCCCCCTCTTCTCCGCTCATGAATGTGTATTGTCTTTCCTCTGGCCGTTTTCTCTTGGTTACCAGTTCTCCATCCTGGTCACTCGAATCCTTGAATCATTCTAACATGGAGGTCACTCCATATTTTTAGTCATCGTTGCTGCTCTTCCCTGGGTTTTTCCCATTTCTCTTGCACATGGGCCAGACCCGCCAGAGGCAGGGACCCTGCAGCCTTCCCGTGTTCTCCGTTGTGCTCCATCCTGGCACGTCCCACCAGCTTTGCGACAGTTTCCGAGCGCCGAAACGATCCTTCCGTGGAAATTATGATGACTGTAAGGTCTTCTTTTTGAGTGGGGACAAGTTGGTTAGAAATTTCTCACTTTCAATGGCTTTACTGCTCACACCTGGCACAGTAACCACCTCCGTCCTTGCCAGCCAGCCATTAATACCATCTTAATATTATCACTTTCATAGTCAGACCTTAAGTCTATAAAAATTCAGCTTCAGCAGCTGGAGTTAACTGATTTGGCATGGAGTGTATGGCCCCTTTCTCACTCACCACAGCCTACTTTGACCCTCCTACACAAGCTATGTCCTGTCACCACCATGTCCTGCTCATCATCTCCCCTCCCCACACATCTATTCACTCAACACGCCAATTCAAAGCCAGGTGTCCCAGGTCCCTCATCCTCATTCCACCGTGGCTTCATGGAAATCAGTCCCTCTGGTCACTTCTCTTCTGGAAGTATTTGGGAGCATCTGCCATGTGAATATGACCCTGCATTGTGGCTCCTTTGCAGCTGCTCCAGGGACCCGTGTCCCTCCCCGTCGGTGTGGATCTCTCCATCCTACTGTGAGTGTTTCTGGGCAAGTTTTGGAGGAGATGCTTGATCTTACCATCCTGCTTTGCTTCCAAAACCTCTCCCTTGCTCTTTCCTTCTTCACTGCTGCATACGTGGACCACAGCCACCTGCTAGGCCCCAGAGTTTTTTGGGAAGCAGTGGATTCCTGACACCCATGGGTCCCTTCCAACCTAAATTATTCTGTGATTATGGTCTCTTTAGTGCACGTGCAGCTACACCACTTGCTTATCTGAATGTATGTATGTAAAAACATACAGCATATGTATAGATATGTGTGCATGTGAGAGAGATGCGTACACACCTCTCTCTCTCCATACACAACCTTTTGTGATGACATTTCATATCTCCCCCAGTGCTTGGGGCCTTTCCTTCACTGTCTATGGATAAGGCTAGGAATCATAGAATCATAGAATGGTTTGGGTTGGAAGGGACCTTCAAGATCATCCAGTTCCAACACCCTGCCCTGGGCAGGGACACCTCCCACCAGACCAGGTTGCTCCAAGCCCCATCCAGCCTGGCCTTGAACCCCTCCAGGGATGGGGCAGCCACAGCTTCTCTGGGCAACCTGGGCCAGGCTCTCACCACCCTCACACCAAAGAAGTTCTTCCCTCATATCCAATCTAAATCTCCCCTCTTCCAATTTAAAACTGTTCCCCCTTATCCTGTGGCTTCCCCTCCCTGATCCAGAGTCCCTCCCCATCTCTCCAGGAGCCCCTTTGGGAACTGGAAGGGGCTCTAAGGTCTCCCCGGAGCCTTCTCTTCTCCAGGCTGAACCCCCCAACTCCCTCAGCCTGTCCTCACAGCAGAGGGGGCTCCAGCCCTCCCAGCATCTCCATGGCCTCCTCTGGACCCGCTCCAACATGTCCATGTCCTCTGCTGTTGGTGGCCCCAGAGCTGGAGGCAGCCCTGCAGGGGGGTCTCCCCAGAGCGGGGCAGAGGGGCAGAATCCCCCCTGGCCCTGCTGGCCACGGGGCTGGGGGTGCAGCCCAGGGTGTGGGGGGGCTTTCTGGGCTGTGAGCACACGTTGTTGGGTCATGTCCACCTTCTCACCCACCGGTACCCCAAAGTTCTCTGCAGGGAGATGTATGGGTAAGGTTAGGAAGGACATATTTGAACAGCTCCTCCGTCAGTTTTACATGCTGTAGTTTGCACCGGGGTGATCTAAATTCTGGAGAACACCCTTGGTCTCCACACAGACCCCATGAGCAATGGGAGTTTGCAAAAACCTGTCGAAATCCAAGAGCTCTCTCTTGAAGTAACCCAGCTGCTGGGCTCAGAGAACGGTTTCGGGTTGGAAGGGACCTTTTAGGGCCATCTAGTCCCCCCTCCCATGGTCAGCGACATCTTCAACCAGACCAGGTTGCTCCAAGCCCCATCCAGCCTGGCCTTGAACCCCTCCAGGGATGGGGCAGCCACAGCTTCTCTGGGCAACCTGGGCCAGGCCGCCCTCGCGGGAAAGAACTGGTTTCCTTAGACCCGCTCTGAATTCTTCCCCCTGCGGGTTCAAAGCTCCTCACCCCCCCTCCTCCCCGCGGCCGCCGGTGTCCCCGCTGCCGTGCCCCGGGGCGGCGGTGAGGGGCGCAGCTCCCGGCCCGGGCCCGGCGCAGAGGGCGGGGGGATTTCCAAGCGCCGCCGGGCGGCCTCGCCGCTTCCTCCTTCTTCTTCTTCTTCTTCTTCTTCTTCTTCTTCTTCTTCTTCTTCTTCTTCTTCTTCTTCTGTGACTTCTTTTCTCCTAAACAAAACATGTCCACTCAGGCCAAAAAGTGATGTGTACTCTTCGTGAGTTCCTGAGGCTGTAATAAGAACTTTGAAACCCTGTTGGAATACCTGGCCTCCTCTTCTCAACAGCTTTTATCTCAAACAGCTAATCAGAGACAGTTCAATGTCGCTACTTTCACTGTGGTTGAACAATTTTAATTAAACAAATCTTCTTCTTGTCCTTCACCTGCTTGGACAATTTCAGATTTCATATGAGAACAGGGGTCCACAGTCAGTATTGCACCTGTCACTGTGCCTTTGCTGGCTATATTTACATATTTTTTTTTCAGGGATGTGGTTGGAATTTGCAGAGATTACTATCCGGTAAAGATGGGTGATACGCCCAACCCCCCCCCCCCCCCCCCCCCCCTCACTGTACGGCCCTCAGCGGATCCAGCGGTAGCAAGTGCGCCCTTTGGAAGCCCAGCAGCCTCAAGCCACGCTCTGCCTTCTGTCTTGTGGGGTGGGTTGGTTTGTTTTGGTTTTTATTTTTCAGAATAACCTCCTTTTTTAAAAAAATATTTATTTTCTTGCTCGCTGCGTGGCGGTTGGCAGAGCGGAGGGCCGAGGCCTGGATGCCTTCCCGTGGAGGAGACTGAGGAAGAGTGTGTGTCTGTGTGTGTGTGTTGTTTGTGTCTGAGGGTCAAATTCCGAGCTCCTCGCAACGTCTGGGGTCAAAGTTCCAAGAACCTTACCCCTCAGCCCAGGTTCCCGGAGATATTTGGGTCCTTAATTCCCCTTTTGCTTCCTGTGAGCACTGCTTCTTGTGGTTCTAGGCAGCAGAGTGTTTGAGGCTTGTTTATTTTGACAGGGAGCTTGGATAAAGCGATTGGGGAGTGCAGAACTTTGCTCCCAGTTCGTGCATGGTTCCCAGTTACAGCCCAGTTCACCCTGCTAAGATCCTGCCCAGGTTCCTGAAGATATTTGGGTCCTTAATTCCCCTTTTGCTTCCTGTGAGCGCTTCTTCTTACGGTTCTAGGCAGCAGGGTGTTTGAGGCTTGTTTATTTTGACAGGGAGCTCGGTTAAAGCGATTGGGGAGTGCAGAACTTTGCTCCCAGTTAGTGTGTGGTTCTCAGTTACAGCCCAGTTCACCCTGCTAAGATCCTGCCAGGCCCTGCTGGCCACGGGGCTGGGGGTGCAGCCCAGGGTGTGGGGGGGCTTTCTGGGCTGTGAGCACACGTTGTTGGGTCATGTCCACCTTCTCACCCACCGGTACCCCAAAGTTCTCTGCAGGGAGATGTATGGGTAAGGTTAGGAAGGACATATTTGAACAGCTCCTCCGTCAGTTTTACATGCTGTAGTTTGCACCGGGGTGATCTAAATTCTGGAGAACACCCTTGGTCTCCACACAGACCCCATGAGCAATGGGAGTTTGCAAAAACCTGTCGAAATCCAAGAGCTCTCTCTTGAAGTAACCCAGCTGCTGGGCTCAGAGAACGGTTTCGGGTTGGAAGGGACCTTTTAGGGCCATCTAGTCCCCCCTCCCATGGTCAGCGACATCTTCAACCAGACCAGGTTGCTCCAAGCCCCATCCAGCCTGGCCTTGAACCCCTCCAGGGATGGGGCAGCCACAGCTTCTCTGGGCAACCTGGGCCACACCGCCCTCGCGGGAAAGAACTGGTTTCCTTAGACCCGCTCTGAATTCTTCCCCCTGCGGGTTCAAAGCTCCTCACCCCCCCTCCTCCCCGCGGCCGCCGGTGTCCCCGCTGCCGTGCCCCGGGGCGGCGGTGAGGGGCGCAGCTCCCGGCCCGGGCCCGGCGCAGAGGGCGGGGGGATTTCCAAGCGCCGCCGGGCGGCCTCGCCGCTTCCTCCTTCTTCTTCTTCTTCTTCTTCTTCACCCCCCCCACCCCCCGGTCCCCCGTCCCCCTCCCTCTGCCTTT